GTTCTCTGAGTACCTGCTCACGCCCCCTTCCCGGCCAGTGCATTCATGTGTCGCTGCTATTGATTAACCAGGAACAAACAATGTTTGCAGTTACTGCCCTTTTGTTTATTGTTTTTATAAGCTTCGGTCCCAACAGGACAGCAGGGATCAAAGTTCATGTCTTTCTCAGAGCCAGTACTTCAGCTGTTTGCCCACCTATACAGCAAAACCTTCCCTGCGCCTGGAAGGTTACTCTTTATGGCAATGACTGCCCAATACTTAGGTCAAGCTTATTATCAGTTACAAATTGGCACCACGTAGAGGTGGAATAATGTATTCTGAGTGTAAATTACCAACAAAAAATCCCCATGGCATGCTTTTGCAGGCCTTGGCGCTTTCTGCAGCGAGGTAAGCAGCATGAGGGATGGTAGGAAACAGGGGGGTGTGCAAATGTCTGAAACTTGTTGGGGAAAAATGAAGGGAGGTTGTTTGAAGTGTGTTTAAAAAAAGATGTGCCAGGAAAACCAAGCATCTCTGGCTGACAGTCAAAACTGCACTGTCAGCATAATGGCTTTGATGCAAAGGCTAAGTATGTCATCCCTCACACCCCCCAGCAGCACGTCGTGGGACAGTAATGAGTGTTTTAGATAAGAAACCATTAAATGTTGAGCTGTCTTGCAGCTGGAAGGGGAAAATAAGGTTGCAAATACCGCGGCTAGGCCTCATTAACGAGATACCTGTCTTGGCCATGGAGTTTCTGATCTCTTCGCAATTACTCCTGTTTTCACCAGGATCTGTTGGGTGGTTGTTGTTTGTGGGTTGGTTTTTTTTAAATAAACATGGCTGCTCTGCACATGTTTGGCGTGTTCGTATTAAATGGGGCGCCTGGGAACAACTTTTTCCCTGTCACCTGAGAAGAGCAGCATTTTTCTTGGAGCAGCAAGGAGCTCTGCCGCCAGCGCCGCAGACCCCGCTCTATCAGAACACCTCAACCCAAATCCCCGGCGTTTCTTGCTCTTCTCGTCCTACTTCAGGGAGCCTGTACAAAGGCTCTTTTCTCCTGCGCTGCAGTCGCAGCTGCGCTAATCTCGGCGCGGCACAGTTTTGCTGGCGCACGTGCCCACATCCCTTGCTGTTCTGTCCTGGCCTCCCCGCAGGTCTGGCACTGCGAGGTCCGACCTTTAGCTGGAGTGCAGGTTCTGAGGGTATCTCTAGCTACTTTTTTCAGAAGAGAGAATCGTTCCTGACCCTGTCCCTCTTCTGATGGCAGGGGAAGAAATAGCCTTGGTATCACATGAGGAGGCAGAAGTTAGACACTGTTGATATCGGCAAGGTGATCGCTCTGGATGCTTTTGTCAGTAAGAACTGTAAGGTTACACAGGGACAGGGGTTGAGGGGAATAGTTGGCTGAATACCTTGGAGAACATGGGAGATGGAGAAAAGTGGATTTGGACAGAGTCATATTGCGCTTCCATTTCTAGTTAATATTTTTCATGCTTCCAATAGCCATGCCCCATTGAGGGCTTTTGGATGCCTGATAAGAAGGTGGTGCATCTCTCTTCGGCCTCCACAGCCCCCAAAAACCAGAGCCTTGCTCTATACTGGCTTGCATCTTATGCTTGGGTCTTTGATGTCTATTCATAAAGTGGGGCGTACAGAATATCTATCTCCTGTAACAACTCTAAGATCACCCACAAGGGCTGAACACTGCAGGCTGTTCCTCAGTAAGGACCACAGGATCCCTCTTCTCCACGCAGCTACATATTTTGGTGAAACTTGCAGGTTCTTCAGTACTGCTCTGGGGAAACTGACTTGAAGCATGTGGAGAGAAAGCTGGCCATCACATGGTCAGATGAGCTTCATCACCTTAAAATACCAGGATACAAACACCAGTGGAGCTGAGTCTAACTGGCATTTTCTCAGCCGCCACCAGCAACATCACAGGCTGTGGGAAATGATTTCCAGTCTCACCCCCTGAAGGTAACCCCCCCCCTTCCCCGAATCCAAGCTACCATGTGCCTGGCCCTTTGTGTATGTGACAGATGTTGCTCTGTGACCGGCCAGGTTTTCTCCCTGAAGGAATTCTGTGTTTCATAAGCACCGTCTCCAACATAAAAATATAAACCAAAGCCAAACTTTGCCCTATAAAACATTGGGTGTTGTCTCAACTCAGCTATTGATAGCGCTTGGAGTTACACTACATTTAACGCTGCAGTTAAGATATCTTGATGTTGGAGTTTGCGTGAACAGCCTCATTTTGCCAACTGGTCTATTTTTGTCCAGGTAGTAGTGACACAATGAGTATCCATAAATCCAGAGCGCCTGTACACACCTTTTCATACATAACCATAAATTCTCCAGAGTCTCTCTCAGCAGTATTGGGGCTTTTCTGACATTTGGGAGCATGGTTCTTGGTTGCTGGTTTTTTTTGAAACTTCAGCTGCTGGCATCCAGGGATTGCACAAGGGTCTTTCTGTCACTCAGAGAAAATCCCAGGCACTTCTCAATTCTCATAATTGTACAGAAAAGGTGGAAAATACTATTTGAAGTTACCTGAAGACTCAGAAACTGTGAGGAAAATGAACCCCCAAATTATTTTGTTTAAGATCTCCTCTGTCCCCCCTGCATCTCCATGGCTGTTGGGGAAAACTGGCTCAGGGACGTTGGAGGAGGTGAGTGGTGATTTGCATCTAGACTCTTGGCCCTCCTTTGATTGACTCCAAAGGAATTTATGTATCTTCTCACGTACAAAGTCCTCCACGCTCCTGCCTTTGCTTCCGTCTCTGCAGGCGTCTCCGGCACCCCCACTCCCTCTCTCTGTGTGATCAAAGCTCCCCCTCTTCTCCTTTTATCATTTTTTTGCATGCTTTAGACTCTCTGCCTCCTCTGCTGCAGCGCATGCCCAGAGCCACCTTCCAGTCAAATTTATTCTGAGTTCCCCGTGCCTTTTCCGTCAAGAGCCTTCAGCGACTACGTGGGAGAGTCGGGTTCTGACGCTCATCTCCTCTCTTCACTTTTTATGGTTTAACACGTGCAGCTGGGCACGCGGCTAACCCTGGTGTACCACAGATCGGGCGGGGAAGTGCAGGTATTTATGATATTCAGTGTACAAATGTTAAATTAATGCCTGGGGAAGAAGAGGGCATGTCCATACCACTTGTCCCCAGCACTCTTCTGGCATCCAGCTGTTTCCAGCTCAAGACCCTCTGAAAAACTGCTTGAAAAGCCACAAGCAGAGCGTGATGGGCAATGGGAGAACCCACCATCAGTGCTCCTTGGTGATCTTGCCATGGGCTGTGTCTCTTCTGTCCACCACGCCTCTTTCTGTGCCATAGTTCCTTGACAGGAGAGGCACAACTGCTTGGCCATCCTGCTCCTCTGCCAAAGCCCCTGGGACAGCCATGGATCAACACCCAGCTACCTGCATGAATGGATGGATGGGTGGACCCTGTCTCCTGACTTTGCACCATTGTTGCAACGGAGGGAAGACAAGAGCACTCAATATGAATGATCAGCAAGCCTCCAGTTTATTTAGACACACTACCACTCTTTTATGCACACTCATAATTAGCTCATACATATTGCAAAATGAGAGCTCATTATTGGTTAGTTCTAAAAAGACAGTTCCGCCCGAAATTCCTTTCTTACAGTTACATGTTTACCTTATCACAGACATCCTGTTGTTGGACCACAGCTGCCTTCAAGGCCAGAAGAACAACTTCAAGGCCTTGCAGTTATTGGGAGCTAGATAAGCTGAACACGGTGCTCATTAAGCTCTTGCTGGGCTAGCTGGCCCATGTCTACGTGACCCTTCTCAGCTAGCCAGTCTCCCACACACCATGCCTTGTGGCTTCTCACACAACTCTCACACCACCCCTCAGCCTCAGGAATAGGTCTGGTTGGCACCATCACATTCAGCTACTTAAGGTAACTAAAGGGAAGAGTCTCTTTTAAGAAACAAAAGCAACCCCACCATGTCACAAGATGCCTGTGACAGCTCCCTGCAGCACAGACACTGTGCCAGGGTTGTTCAGGGTTCTTGCAAATTTCATCCCAGGATCACAGGGACTTGTGTGGTAAGGTGCTGGTGTGGTCCACCCTTCTGCTCCAAAATGAGGCCAATATCACCTAAATTCCCCCCAAAGGTTGCCTACCCAGACTGTTCTTGAAAACCTCCAGTGATGGAGACTCTGGTGCTTCCCCAGGCAATCTACTTGAGTAATTAACTGTCTGTTCTGTTAGAAAGCGGTTCCTAATGCCTAGCATCAATCTTGCTCCTTGCAATTTAAACCCCATTACTCCTCACCCTATTCCCCAGCGGACGCAGGGAACAATTGATGCCTGTCCCCATCGCATCACCCTGTGCCCCCCCAGAGAGAAAGTCTCAGGCTGATTTGTGATGTTGTGTCTGCCTGAGGAGATGGCTCTCCTGATCACGGTGACACCGGCACGGGGGAAAACAGAGAGGTGTGATCTTTTGGGGCCAGGGGGATTGGCATAGTGCACTGCTAGACATAATACCCTTAGAAAGCATATGATTTTTGTGATAGCTGTGAGCCTGGAGCAGGATGGAGGGGTGGATTTGTGGCATGTGCCCCCCACTGCTCCTCTGCTGTGCCTGGGGGTGACAGTGGCACCCGTGGATGCTGGGGGGCTGTAGGCATGGGCAGGTGGGGGGAGTGGCTGCAGCTACACCAGAGGGACTCGGGGTGACAGCGGAGAGGTTTGACCCATCGCAGGGGACCCCTCCTGGTCCAGACCTCCATCCTCCCTCTGGGGTCTTCCCACCCCCTGATCCCACTGTCCCTGCAGCCTGTGGGGCTTCCCCATCTCCCCTGCAGCCTGTGGGGCTGCCCCATCGCATCCGTCCGTGCCACCGATGCGCATCGCTTTGCGTAACCGCAGTGATGCAGCCCCCCACCGGGGCTGCCCCTCATCCCCAATCCCCTCTGGCCCCCCATCGAGACTCGCTCCTTTAAGCCTGGCTCAGAAATGACCAGGCTGATCCCTCCCACCTGCCCGCTCCCCCTGGCCTGGCCCTGACGTCAGGGGAAGGCGTGTGGATGCGTGTATGTGTGTGTGTGTGTGCGTGCGTGTGCGAGGCGCGCATCATACACACATCAGATACCGCAGACCCATCGGCAGCCGGCGGGCAGGCAGGCAGAGGGAGAAAGCCCCCCGAGAGCCGGGCTGCAGGCGAGACCACTCTGCTCCCCGCAAGGCAGCGGAGGAGCCTTCGGCCCCACCGAGCACCGATGCTTGGCAGAACACAGCTCCAGGGAGCCCGTCACCGCTAAGGAGGTAAGGGGGAGGCACAATGGCCATCCGGCTTGCCCAGGCTATTATTGTAAGCTGGAGGTTAAACTTCACGCACTGCCTTTTTTCTTTCAAAGCTGCTTTTTCTTTTCGAGAGCGGCGGAGAGGTGCGAGGGTGAAGCGGGACGTCCCTCCTCCGGTTTGGTTATTCCCCACCAGCCTGAGGAACAATAACTCCTCTGGGGGTGGTGGTGGTGGTGGCCTCGTTGCGGGTCTGCTTTGGCTGGGGGGGTTGGCAAATAGCTGGGGCTTTGCCACAGAGGGCTGAGATCAGCTGGGACCCAGCTCTCTCTCTGGGGGGGAGGCGATTTGTAAAAAAAAATCCATTTTTTTAAAGCCGGCTGATAATGGTGGGGGCTTGAATTGGGGTTTCTTTGGGACTGGCTGCACTATTCATTCCTGCAGATGGCAAGTTAGATCCACAAAGGAGGAAGGAAGGATGCGGATGAGGACGTTTGCGCCAGGTCTTTGAGCAGACACTATTCTAATTTAAAAAAAATAATAATAAAATAACAAAACAACCAAACCCCACAAATATGATATTTGAGAGTGATGATTATGCATATATGCTTAAAAGATAAATCAAGCCTCCATGATGGCTTCTCCCTTTGCTTCCCCTTTGCATCTGGCAGCCTGCTTGCTCTCCCCCATGGCCTCCCCGAGAATTGGGCAGCCCAGCACTGACTAAGGGAGCTTTTTATAATCAGTCCATAAAGGTGACATTCATATTTTAGCGCTAAGCAGGCTGTATCGTAGGCGAGACTGTCTCAGCAAAGATCCCTGGAGTTGTGAGCGTGATTGGCTTAGCTGGGGAGGGGACGCTGTCAGTGTGTATTCCCCAAAAACTGCCTGGTTTATTTTCTCTATAGTAATTTGTCTCAGCAAAGGGGTTTTTAACATGCAGGGTAGGCAAGGAAATTGCTTTGCTTGGTCTTTAACTCTGCATGGCATGATCTGGTAACCAAAAAAAAAGTGGGGGGGGAGCTGAGGGGCTTTCATTAGCATCGGACAGAGACAGCATTTATAAAAACCTGCCAGACGCCAAGGCTGTGAGCCTCCTCAGAGGAAGGGAGGATGGAGAAACGTAGCCCCGGCGAGTGCTGTGGTGGCCCTGCTTGTGGTAACCCCCTGCCTGGAGCCATCCCTGTTCCCCAGCTGGTTCCTGCCCTTCACAGCAATCCCCCGGGGAGATGCCGATTCTGGGTCTCCGCTGGCCACCGCGTTGTTGGTGGGTCCCTGGGCACCTGCATGTGCCAGGCAGCTGAAAAAAGGGATTTTTGTTTTTGCATCGAGCTCTGGGGACACGCTCTCACGTCTGGAGGGGTGTATCTCTTCTCTGTTTCAGCCCGTGTCTAGACAGGCTGGGTCTGGGGGGGCATCAGCCTCCCCGAGGATGGCGGCAGGCCAGAACATCTCTTTCCCTGCTCCGTGGGGTGAGGAGATGGCTGCCGGCAGCCGGCTGCAGAGATGGGGTGGTCTTTTTGACATACTGAGACCTCTTTGCCACTGGGGTGGAAGGAGCTGGGAGGTAAACCTGACTCCTAAACTGGGGCCACTGGCAGTCGCGAGGGATGGAGAAAACATGATGGCGAGCAGCCGGGAAGAGCCTGTGCGGGAGCTCGCTGGAAAAGGCAGCAGAGGGAAAATAACCTCCAGCTCCTTGGCTGGGGAGGGGGGGAGCAGCAGCACTCGGGGAACCCGAGCGTGGTGGCTGACAGCATCCCGAGCCGGGGATTTGGAAAGGGATGCAGCAGCATGAAAGGAAATAGCCCATAAAGGCGACGGCGGGCCAGCCCAAGGGTCACGTCCCGCAGCTGGAGCGTGACAGCCACCAGCAGAGCGGCTGCCCGTCCGCCCGTCCATCTCTCCGTCCGTCCTGGGCAGCCCAGGGGTCCTGGTGGATGGGAAGGAGCACAAAGAAGCGCCGCGCGGGAGGGCTGACACGCCGAGGGCGATTAAGCCAATTAAATATGTATTCCCCCGCCCGGCGGAGGGACGTGTGAGGGGTTTTTCTTCACCGCCGCTAATGAACGAGGAGTGGCAGACAGAGGCTGGTGCCTCTTCAAAAGGCTCCTTCCCCCCTTTGGGGGGACCTTGAAAGCATGTTTAGTTAAACAAGGTCACAGCCAGCACCCAAGTCAATGTGTTTGGCTTTAAAGAGAGGAAGAGAGACAGTGATTTTATTTGATAAACCGCAGACCTTTCAGTGGCTGCTGATGAATGGGGTACTTGGATCTCGAGATAAAAGCTGATGTGTCTACTGCCTGTCTGCCTTAATTGGCCTGGGTTTCCTGGTGCGCTCGCCTGCAAGCGCTCCTGACTGTCAGCTCAGCTTGGCTCGGAAGCCTGCCCCCCGAAAAATATAAAAGCAAAGCTGGCTGCCGCTGCTGAAGGAAACCTTGTCACCCGAGGGCTCTGGAGTTTTGATCCGAGATGGTTTCTTTGGGGAGAGGGGGAGACAGACGAGGTGGGGTGTGTTTTTTACAAAGAGCATCCTTCTACAGAACGCCGAGCTCGGTGCTGCTTATGCACATCCTTGCCTCGGAGGACTCTCACCCCAGGGGACTCTCAGAGCAAAGCCACCGAGGGGAGATGGAGAGGAGTTCAGTGGAGGTCTCGCCGGCAGTGGCGGGGGGGCTGTTATGCTAGAAAGGCTTCCCATGCCTCACGGCAAAGCCGGGCTGCTGCAGCCTCTGCTCGCCTCCTCAAGTGACCCGGATTTTGTCCCCGCACCTTATATGTGCGTGGGGGGGACACGGTGGTGTGGGTGGCGTCTGTGAGGCCAGGAGAGATCTGGGGTGGGGAGAGATGCTGTCAGCCCCAGTGGAGGTTAATGTGACCACTGATGGTGGAGGAGAGGGAGAAAAAGCCTCCTGTCCCCCCAGGTGCCCCTTCCTTGTTGCCTGCTGGGGCTGCAGTGTGGAGAATGGGAGCCAGGACTGGGGAGAGGGTGGTGGGGTAGAGCAGAAGGAGGGAAAGAGAAGGACAAGAGGATGGGAGAGGCTTTCCTTGCTCTCCATCTGGGCTGGGAGGGGAGAAGACACCAGTGAGGACATGGTCGCCTCTCCCCTCTTCTCTCAGCCTGCATTTGCTGTGAGTTTAATTTCCTCGGTCCCTTTGTTTGCTGCGGGGATTTAAATGAGGTGGGAGGAAGGATACCGCCCCGGAGTCCCCTGTGGTGCCAGAGCTCTCACACAGCCAGCTTCAACGGCACTGGAAGAGATGGGCATTCAGCCACTGGTCCCCAAGGCTGACCCACAAATTTGGGGTACTCACACCAGGCACTGCAGCGGGGCAGAGCACTGCTGGCCATGGAAGCCAGCCTTGGCATGGCCGGGGGATGGCTGGGGGTCTCTGTTCCATCCACCACTCCAAGCAGGAATTAGGTACAATGCCTCAGTTAGAGCAGGCTGCTGGGGGATGTGTCCATGGGGGGGTTGCATACCCCCAGGGATGGGGATTCCATAGCCTCGCTGTGCCCTGTCCCTGTGCTTATCCCAGTGAGCTGCCGCCCCATGCCAGGACTCTCCCCCTTATCCCCATGGGCCAGCTATAGCCCCCCAAGGTGCCCAGGGGCAGTCGTGCCTGGCTTGTTCTCACACGTGGGGCAAGTTCAGCTCGTGGGGCAGCCCTGGGAGGGCACCTCTGCTGCTGCCCGTGGGCCTCAGGAGCAGGCTGTCTGCCTCGTCTTCCCCAGTGATGTCCAACATGCTCCTACTCCCCACCATCGCTCATCAGGGAGCCTTCCAGGACCCCAGCCTGGGCTCGTCACACAGGTGAACCTGGGGCAAACCCACTCTCCATTGCCACTTCGTCTGTCCACGCTATTTTGTCCCTGCAAGGCTCCCCCTCTCACACACCCCTTCCCTTTCACCTCTTATTTTTCTTTTGCCTCTGGGCAAGTTCAGCTCGTTTTTCCAACCCCTTGTAGACCCGTTAGAGGAAGCTCTTTCTGCTGGCGCCAACCAACCCCCTCAGCATACTAATCGTTTGCTCCAAGCATCGTTATTCAGGTTAAATACCCTCCATTGTCCCTAATCTGGTGGGGGAACCAAAAGGCCTTGTCAGCGAAAACACGCACAGAGGCGGCGCGCTGTGGTGACGCCATTTTCATCGTGGCGGCTCCATGATGTGCCAGAGAACTGAGGGCCATTTCCTCCAAGTGGTCTCGCTGGTCCTGCTCTGTCACCTCCTGGGAAGGCACCAGATCCTGTAGCGATGCTTGGGGACCACATTGCTGTTTGCTACCCAAAAGCTGCCTGGGCTGCTCGCCAGCGCAGGCAGAGCGGTCGGATGAGGGGCACAGATGGCAGCAGAGAAGCAGCTTGGTGGCTGCCCTGGCTTTTGGGTGTCTCGCTTGGGTGTTCCTTGAGCCTCTCTGAGCTCCTTGGGCATGGGGAAGGAGATGCTGAGCTTGGGAATGGAGGAAGGAGATGCTGAGCTTGGGCGTGGGGGCAGGAGGTGCTGAGCCTGAGCCTGGGAATGAGAGAAGGAGCCTGGACATGAGGGCAGGAGATTCTGAGCCTGGACATGAGCAAAAGAGGTGCTGAGCCTGGGCATGGGGGCAGGAGGTGCTGAGCCCGGTGGGCTGGGAGACGAGCAGCCCCGGTGCGGGGTGGGCTGTGGAGCAGAAGGCAGGCGCGTGCGCTCCAGTTCCTTCATGGCAGAGAGGAGCCACTGAAGCGCATGGAGGGTTTGGTGTGGGGGCCGATGGGAGAGATGTTTCGGAGACGTTTGTGGCCACAGCTGGAAGTTGTCTCAGAGGACAGGAGCCTTGGGGTGGGACCGTAGTGTGGCCTCTGCTGCCTGGACCTCGGGGTGAAGCTTTGCAGGGCGGAGAAAGGGGAGCTGTAAGGAAACAGCTAAGTCCTGGATGGACACCAAAGCGGGACTGGTAGCGGTCAGGGCTCAGGGACAGGCAGACCCCCTGGCAGGGGAAGCAAGCAGAAGTGGGTGAGGGGAACAGGAGTTGCCTGATCCCTCCCCGAAACTTCAGCTGCTCTAGAAATCTTCTCCCATGTCCTTGGTGCCTGCTAATTTGGAAATGGAGGTGACCCCCTTTTGCACATCCCCCCAGGGCCTCCGCATCTCAAGTGGCTGCAGATGAGTCAGAAACCAAATTAAATATTCTCTGGGTTTCCCGGTGTGTGCAGGTGTCCTCCCAAAAGATGCCGCACGCCCCAGTGGAGCAAGAAGGGCTGGAGGGGGTGGCGGGGAAGGGGATGGTAACTCCAGGGAATGTTTGGCTCCTCAGCTCTAGGTGATGGGGAAACCCTGGAGCCTGAGGGGTGATGGAGACAGGTGAGCCCCCACCCAGCACCCCCAAACAGCTGCTGGTGTGGGGCACCCTGAGACAGAGGCACCCGACGTCAGGTGCAGGGACCGATGGGAAGAGAAATGGGTAGAGGAAAGGTTTTCTGAGCAAGCAGCTGCAGTGCTGATCACACACCAGAGCTTCTTGCTGGGAGGCTTAAAAATGCTTAAGCAGATACACACACAGCCCGCTCCCAATTTCATGCTCAAGGTGGTTTGGTGAGGACAGCCCACCATTGCTCTGGCTTTGCTCTGGCTCGGCAGGAGACCTGGCCATCCTCTGGCAGCCAAAGGGGCTGTTAAGCCTTGGGGCTTTAACTCCTTGCAAACCACACCATACCAGCCAAAACCTGGACCCTGATGACCAGTTGTGGCTCATCTGAGGAGCCCAAGGGGTTTGTGTGCTGCCAGCAGCCCAGAAATAGCCTCCTGGTGTCCCTTCCCCGTAGGGATGTGCCTGATTGGGCAGCGAGCTGCTGGCTGGGGCTGGGATTGGTTCCTAAATGCCATAGAGGTGAGGGAACCTCCAGTGCTGGGGAGACCTCAGATCCCTTACCTTGACCTACCTGTTGTCTCAGCCTTTTTTCTTCACCCTTTTAGCAGAAATCTCAGGCTGGGGGAGATCTCAGAGGCCAGGAGACCTGGTGCAGCATGGGTATCCTTGCCAAAACAGTCCCTGCCCATGACAGCCCATGCTCAGTTGCTTCTTCTCCCAGGGCATGTACTGATTTAGCGACTTCATCTCTAATATGTGGGATTATCCTGGAAAATGAAAGATGCAGCAACACACTGGGCTCTTTCTTTCCCTCAGGACTGATTCACTAGAACATCGTGGATGGGCTTCCTGGGGTAATTCCCAGTGCTGGGAGTTGGTTCTCAGTACCAAAGGTTGATGGCACACTGTTTGCCCACACAGATGTGGAGCCAGGAGCAGAGTGGACAATTCCTAACAGCAAACTGCCCCCGCCGAAAGCCCCCCTGGGGGGGGGGGGGGGTACCCACTCCTCCTTGGCTCCCCAGGTCTCAAGCATCAGCCCCCCC